ATGTCTCATGAAAGTCCGATGGTGACACATAGTAATAATTTATTTATTTATTGTTTATGGAAGGGCAATATTAATTGTTAGATAATATTAAAGGTTAAATTTGATTCAATCTATTAGTTAAAAAATAACATTATTAACAAGCATATGGATCAAGGGTATTAAGCTAGTTAGGTAAAGGTTTAATGACAAAAATGATGTCTAAACTATTAGGTTATAACAATTTAAAGCATATATTATTAATTTAGACAATTTGGATCATGAACTCGTTATCTTTTCGACAAATGTTATCCTTCTTTCGTTATTTCTAATGGTTAAAACATTGATTGTTAACTCGAAATATAGCTTAATGATAAAATTTACTCTCAAATTATTAGAATTGTGGTCAAATAAGGCCTACATTATCAATTTGAGCTATTCGGATCTTAAACTATTAGTTTTTGAATACATTTTATCCTTCTTTATTATTTTTGATACTCAAAGTGTTAACCGTTCTTTTTTTTTTAGAATTAAAATTAATTTTAATTTTTTTTTAATAATAGTTAAGTTTAAGAAAACTTAGATGCTTTTGTTATTGACTTTTGTTGTTGGATAATTAAAGATGTGTAATGGAACCATCTAGTAAAAAAAACTAAATTATTAAAAAAAATTAAGAATTAAAATTAATTTTGAAAAAAATATTTAATAATAACTAACTTTTAGGTAGCTTAAATGATATTTTTTATTCATGGAACTTACTTTTTTTGTTAGATAATTAATTGTGTGTAATGGATCCATCTAGTTAAAATAAAATAAAAATTAAATTATTAATCTTTTTTTGAAATTAATTTTATTTTTAAAAAAATTGAAATTCTTAAATTGACGTCGTTTTAAATATTTCAATTAACGATCAATATTTTAATTATCATAAATAATAAAGAAAGATAAATTTTTCTTAGAAATTAACGAGTTTGGGATTCAAATAGTCCAAATTGATAGTATAGACTTTATTTTATCACAAATCCAACAATTTAGAGGTAAGTTTTGTTATTAAATTATATTCTAGTTGATGCTCAATGTTTTGACCTTTAGAGATAAAGGAGGAAAGATAACATTTGCTTAAAAAAATGATTTGGGATTCAAATAGGTTTAATTGATAATATGAGCCTTAAATTTCTAAAATCTAATAATTTGGAGGTAAGTTTTGCCATTAAATCGTTACTTAAATGCAGAGTTCTCATTTTCCAAGCTACTAAAATTTGATCATCGCATCATTTTATGTTGTCCTAAGTGATTTATGTTAAAATCATCCTTGCTCCTAGATAAACTCAATCACCTAATTCAAGATCCATTAATTAACCTTCTAATATATAAGAAGAAAAACTATAACTTAAAGGCATATTGTTCCTTTTTGGTCTACGATTTCAATGGAACATTTATACATCCTTAAACAGTTTGGTTTCAAAATTGAAATATGAATTGACAAGACAAGATACATATATCCTTGCAAACTTATCACCAAAGATTCTAGGTAGAATGGTAAGAAAAATATATCTGACTCATTAAGTTGAGAATTTAATTCTTACTCTTAGAAAACTCATCTCTCCCATTTGTGACACTAGACATGGACTACTAGTGAGGTCAAAGAATCCAATTTTTAGAATCGATCAAAAGTTAGATGTAATTCGATTCTAACTTAATTCAAAAAATAAACTTAATTTCAATTGATATGAAGACTAACCCGATGATATCCCACTGTCTATATATATATATATATATATATGAAGATTGATGTTGATGTGTCCTATAATTTAGTACGCTACGCAGAGTTAACTCGATAGTCTTGCTATAAATATAGAATATTGACCCAATTGTATAGATTTGTAAAGACTGTTTTTAATAATTCTAATTGTCGACGCTATAAATAAGGACAATATCTCTTCCATTTGTAACTAATTGAAAACTTATAAAACATGAAGCAAATTAAATAAGCCAGCTTTTAGGGAATGGAATCCATGGTCTAATCAAACAAATCCTAAAGCATGACAACTTGGGATAGGACCCAGATAGGTCCCAAACATTGTATATTTAACTCAGTTCTGTCTCCTCTCTTCTCAGCTCTTTTCTAACCTGCATGTGTTGCCAAAATTATGATTCGAGATCTGAAGGTTGTGGTCAATTTGATTCCTAGATGAAGGCCTACCCCCAACCTGAATTACCAGAAAAGCGGGCCATATGTTCGGCTGTTTGCCAGACTGCGGTACAGTATTGCGTGATTGACCCACCATCAGTGAGGCTTCCCTTAATTTTTGGCTTTGCTTGTTAAGAAAAGGAATCAATTCTCCATGATTCTAACTGTAGAACTCTCAGACGAAAAAAAAACTAACCTTAAAAGATAGGAATTTGTCATGGACTGCATAGTTGTTTGAGAAATACTACTGTCATTTGGAATACAAAGAAATGACACGAAAATAATAATACTAATGACTTTTCACGAAGTGGATGTGGATGGCAAGACCTGATAGGGAAAAACGAAAAACTTAATCTGGATAAGCAAGAGTTAGCTTGAAGATACCCGACCATTAAAACAAGAAGGTGATGGTTGGGTCACATAACGGGAAAAAGCTTTCGATTTGTGTCTAATCCTCTTCTTGTGTTTGATAAAATTCAATTGAAAAATCTATTGAAACAAATTGAAATGTCATTCCAAAATATAATTTGTATAGCATATGAACCATTACGTCAATCTTGTTTTCGGGCTGTGTAATATATTATTTCTAAAAATGGTATCAAAGTTTGGCTCATGAATTTCATGGGTCAGAGATCTCTGTTAACTTGTTGATTGATTGATGGGGCAATATAGAACTCATTCGTAGAAGCAAAAGTGCACATTAATATTACATTGGCTTGATCAGTTTCTCCAGGGTACAATGACAATTATATTGCATTAACGTGATCTGTTCCTCTAAGATACAATTATGTAGTTGAAAGAAACTAAGCAGTCAAAGGGGATCGGACACACGTTCTCCACTCTGCAAATGTTTGGTGTTTTTTTTAAAAAAATTATTATTATTCATAGGAGATTCATGGGCTTTTGAGTCCCACAATGAGACAGAATCTTTTCTCATTACATAATCATAATTAAAACAAAAAAAAACTTGAAATCACTAGTACTCAAACTTTAACTTATTAAAAAAGCTAACTACATATACAATGTTAATTTAAGACTGCTGGTGTAATGTTTTTTGTTCTCCAAGCTTAGAAGTTCATTAGCTAACGCACTATCAGTTACCACGTACCAACAACTTCCAAAGCTTGTAGCAAGCCAATCTAATCCAGACCTTCAGACAAAGTCACCAGCCAGCACCTTTCAAATCATCATGTTTTATTGCAAGATTCCGGGACAACTTTACAGCGCAAGCACCAAGCATGCAGGATGCAGATAAGAAACCACATGCAAGACAGAAATCAAATATGAACCACCAATAATAGCTGTTCGTTCAGGTCAGTATCTTTCAGAAAGTCCAACTCAGATAACAACGATACCCTGCTTGTCAATTAGCAAACTTTACTACCAATGGGATTACGGTTTAATTCTTAGCAAGAACTAGGAATTAAACTTGTACCCTTTTCTATTGTAGTGATAAGACTAATTTTCAAAGAGCTAGGAATTGAACTTGTTTAAATGCCGGATAAAAGGTGGCCAAAGTTAGCCACTCGTTTTGACTGTCGTGATCAGATTAATTTCCAAGCGTGACAACTGCCATTAAGCGCGGCCTCCCCAAACTGATCATTGAAATGAAAATTCACTGCTTTCGTTCGAAATTTTATTGCAAATTGACTGGGCTGCTAATTGCAATCACATGGACTTTTCTTCATCAATTATTACGCATTTCCTTTTACGGATTTAAACTAGGAAGAACCAACAGGATACCAAGATGTCACCCTCGAAAAGTACATGCATATGGCAGTCGCTATCTGGAACCTTGCAAACAAACTTCCAATTCCAAAATTAATTATTCACACAAGCCATAATAGTCACGTTCAAATAACTCTAGTAACCACATGGTGAGCCAACTATACAAACGGGAGAGTTGTAGTGGTTCTTAGTTAGAGATGGCAATTTGCCCCGTCTTGTTCCGCCCCGCCTCATTTAAGGCAGGGATGGTACTCAAAATTTCGTTCCGAACGAGGCACGGGGTGAGGATGGAGATGGCTATCCCACACCACCCCCCCCCCCCGCCTCAACCACGCTATTTTGCCTTTAGAAATGACAATTTGACGAAGCCCCGCTCCGTTTGGGGCGGAAATGGTACTCAAAATTTCACCCCGAACAGAGCACGGAGCAGGGATGGGGCAAAATTTTTTGGGAGCGGGGAGGACGGGGATGGCTATCCCCACCCCCACCCTGCCCCATTGCCATCCCTATTCCTAGTTGTGTATGAAGTATCCATTGCTTCTTCCTCCATTGTGAAAGGGGAAAAAATGATTAAATGTTTCAACAAGTTTGTAAAACACAGATACAGTAGAGCTTGTCAATCTTCGGTGTAAAGGGCAAGACAATCAGCTGTGTAGAGATGACCCAAGAACGAAGTTCACCTACTCAAATGGGGAAATTTGGGATTATTCTTGGAAACATTATTTTCTTCTATCTGAAGTGGGCAGGGGAACCTTCTTTACTGGAAAGATTATGTTTTTAATTTCCCTCAAATTTTAAAAGGAGACTTAACTCCACCTGCCTGCTTCAAATCTTATGATTCAATGATCATACTTCCTCTTGCAAAGCTAAACCGCTAATAAACATGCAAATCAATGCTCCCCCTTAATCTTTTAAAAGGCTATACTATAATAAGTTTGGATTTAATGTGGTATATGTCTGTACCATCTGATTCAATTTCTACGGTAAAATATCAGTTATTCCTGCTATATGGGGTGGCTTAAAACTTTATAATCCACATTTCAAATTTCTAGTATAACAGGGTGCTTGATTTATATACAACGCTTAATAAACCTCAAAGGCAACTCTAGATAACACTTTTAAGCAACGGACCCATAATATCATAAGCAGCTTCAGTCAACCTAATCATGTAACAGCACCAATAGTTCTCCTAATATGATTTCTAGCACCTTCGTGTATTGGATTCTTAGTGCTAAAGAGAGAATCATGCTAAAGTTTCTTCTTACCCATTCTCATAGGAACTAAAACTAAAGATACCCTGTCCATAACAATATAAATTAACGGTGCATTCTACTGTTTGCCTATGAAAAACATAAAAGGAAAGGGTGAACAAAGTTGAGGCATAAATTCATAATCATAAAAGAAATCCACTAACAAGTCCATAAATAATAAACTAAAGATGCTGCTTACCTGCTGGCTTGCATGATTTCAAAGACGATTCTTAATACCTTTTGGAAGTCGATGGGATCCATATGTAATCAAAGCACCATTGAGATTCTTAAGCATCCAGTCCAATGAAGTACCTACTAGACTTCTAACCCATCCGGCAAACTCAGAGATTCACATTCATGCATATATGAGACCAAACAAACTTGCCATGTGAGATTTTTAAATGTAAGATCATGCTGCATTTTAGACATCATTTTTAGCCCATTCAAACCCAGAGCCAATGATATGTAAACTTCATTAGAGTAGCAAAATTGCAATACATGTATTTAAATATGTTTTAAAGTGGTTTGATAGCTAACATAGCCATCCTGGGTGGTAACCCATCCTCCAATCCAAAGCGGAGGCCATGGGTTCGAGGAGGAAGATAAGAGTTGGGAAGCAGTCACATTATTGTACTAGAAAACGTTTTTTGATTGTTAGTCACTCCATGTTTGGTGTTTATGCTGTAGATAACAGAATAGTGGAATTCAACTGGCTGAATTGCTTTTGTTTTTGTTGTCTCTCTATCATATCCTGCTGATAAGGGTTCTGGTTGGATAGCTGTAGCCTGCAGGTATTTGAGACTGTCAGGATATGGGGTGAGGAGTATGCAATTAAGGCTCAGTAGGAGAGAGAGAGAGAGAAAGGATTGGAGGGAGCAATAGGCTGCCAAGGAACGCCTGCAAAGGAAGAGCAGGCTGCCTGATAATGGCCCTGCTTTATCCTCATTTTATCTTCCGAGTGGTGGCTATTTTTTACCAAAAATTCTTAGCCCCAAAGGTTTGAAACTAAAAATTGAGATCAAAGGGAAATAATCAAGTGCAGGTCTTTCGCTATGCAAAATAACCTGTAGTTGATGGTGTCACACTTCGCTGTCTGAGAAGACAATATCACTGTGTTACCATTCCGCTCCACAAGCTTGCAGTTGATAATGGCTCTCAACTTCCCACAGCTTACTCTGATATCTGATGACAAAGACATTTTTGCCTCAGCACCCACGCCAGATAGCCTGAAATGTACATAGCACGTAAATGTAACATTTTGTAAAAGATTTCTGTTGAAGAATGAAACAGATTCATGAGACAAGAACGAAGTTTCTACATTAATAAGAGACAAGAATGAAGGTTCTACATTAATAAGTAATTGCATTATTAATTGGCAAGGAACAAGCATTAGCCCTCACAGAGATTGAACCATATTAACTATACCTTCTTCTAAGAACCAACAGAAGCCTCCTTCCCAGGTTTTCCTTGATAAAACGAAAAGCAGCTCCATCAATTACCATATTTTGTATGCTTCAAAGCAAAATGCCCAAGCAGAAACATAAAATTATGCTCACCATGACTGGAATTTAGCCAAAAATTAGGATAAAAAGTTGCGACCCTCTTTCTGTCCCTTTGCCAAACCTGAAGAATTGTGGAGGAAACACCAAAAGCAAAAGAAACAAGAACCAAGAGGAATTCATGCTGCCTGATTGACAATCAGGAAATGAGCTTGAACAGAATCAGTTCTATCCTCTGCTCCTTTTGAAATAAAACTCCCGTCTTTTGTAACACACAGTAATGCTCAAGCTCATGTCAAGCATGTCCTCTTCAACAATAAAATTGCTATTCTCCCTAAGAAAATTAAATAACTTAAATAATGAACAGTTTTTGTACACAATGAACACGATTGCCATAGGGCTGTTTCTTTAGACATCACCTTTAAACTTCAAGTGATGAAATATCTCAAAACAGCTTTCTTTCTTTTTTTCTTTTTGTTTGGGTGTCAAAAGCCAAAAAACATGAAACCTTTTCTGTGGAATTCTTGACTGTTAACTATAGGACCATTAAATCATTATTTGCAATGGCATTCCTATGGCCCATACTTGAAACTACAGGTGGCAGTGCCTCAAGAAACTTCAAATGATCATCCTTACAAACTTCAACACCAAGCCTTTGGTTAGTGTCTTCAATATTTTGTACCATAAAAATTTATCAACATTCCACCTTCCAAATTTCTATACCAAACTACCACAAATTGTTAGGCTTAAGAGCCCGAATCAACGTCAAATTCTGAACCATCAGCATAGAGGAACAGCCAACTTAAATCTTCAAAACCTGCAGAAATAAATCCCAATCACTGAGACAAATTGAGATACCTTTACATAACAACAACGGCCAAAACATTAACTTGTACCATCCTTCATCACCTATCTCTAGCATCTACAAACCAGCTCACCTTTCCAAAATAACCATAGCCATTTCACGAATAAATCACCTATACCAATTAACATAAATAAGTAATAGTAACCAAAATCAAACAAATAGTAAACAACAAAAGCATTCAAGCTGCTAAAATCTCTGAAAGTTACATTAGTGCATTCTTTGAACTTCCAAGTCCACTAATTCCCACAATTACAGCCCCAATGTTAGCTCTGAACACTGCCCACTGTTTTTATCAAGGTAAGCAAGCACATAAATTATTAAATTAAATTCAAACAAATGAACTTCAAAGAAGAAAAACAAATATAAATTCACGAAAAGAAGTAAATTTGAGAACTACTATTAGTACTTGATCAAAGTGAAAAATGTGTACAAAAAGTAATAAACCAACTTTCTAAGACGGAAAGAAAAGGATGGATCAATCTACAATTCAATCAAACAATTCTAAACCATACAAAACATTGGCGTACTTCTCAAATCCTCCATCATCATCTTTATCCTCGAAAACATACTTATCTTTTATCTTCATATAAGCATGAAACGTCAACAAACTATCTGAGCCGGCTTGATGACTATTCCCTATAACCCGATCCACACCCAATTGCTTACATACCCGATCTAACCCACCATATAGATTCCCACAAAACCTCATTATATGCTTTATATCATAAACCCTATCGCCAAAAAACACCCTCACTATTTCCAAAAACTCATTTAAGCCCTCAGGCAACACTTTCTGAGTCAAGCATTTCACTAAGTAACCAAAATCATAAGCACAGTGAAACGTTACCCAACTCACTGACCGATTCAGCAAGAGCCCACTGGACATCATCAACTCAGCGAATTTCACCGAGTCAATCCCGAGCTCTCGATTCTTCTCGAAATCAATGCCCTGTCGCCTCAACAACTCCACTGAGTCATGCGCATGTGCATCACTGGCCACATCAAAATCCCTAAAATTGAATTCCCAGATGAAGCAGCGATCTTTAAACCCTAGATCGGGTAAATTCCCATCCTCGTCAGCGATCGTGAGTCCAAATTGGATCAGATTTAAGAGATCAACGTTTGCTTTGAGGCTCAGGTAGTGCGCCGTCGGGTCACGATGGCGGTTGTACGGATCTCCAGGGGCAGGACGGACGACGATACCGGGAAACTCCGTGTCCATTGAGATTAACGGGTAGCTGTCTATTTTGGATCGGATCAGCTTGAATTCTTCTTCTAAATTGTCTGCCCAGACCGACCGGATCACGACAGTCTTTGCACTTTTCGGTCGTCGTGGCGGAGGTCGTAGCGGCGGTTTATCTGAGTTTGACATGGTTTGGATCCGTTTAAAAAATCGGGCATTCGAAACTAAAAATCCGGGTGAAGATTGTTAGGGTTTTCTTTTTTCGGTTGACGTTGATTGATTTTTCTTTTTATTTCAAATATCTTGCCGTCGTGGTTTTTATAGAGAGGAGACGTGGGGTCGCAACAGAGGGAGGCGGTTTTATTAGCTAGGTTTTTGTTGTTATTTCGTTTGCTTTGATTAGTAAAAAAAAAAATCAAATTGAGGGTACAAGTTGTTAAAGCGAAATGTACAGGCAAATAAAGCATAGGATTCTTTTTGTTATTATTATTAATTTGTCTATATAATTATAAGGAGGAGGTGATTAATGAATGTGGAGGTGGAGGTGAGGTGGAGCAATGAATAAAAAAAAAACCTAAAATTCTTGTACGAATAGCATACTAGATTTTTATACGTATAGGACCAAGGCGGGTAAGTCCCAACACCAATAAATCATAGATCGCAAACAGTTTCTTTATATATATATATATAATTAAGGAGCAAAGGTACAAGTTTTTATAAACTTTAATTCCTTGGCTTTTGCTTTGCGCAATGTCAAATCAAACTGTATTCTTTCAATGATTGCAGAAATATAGTAATGGGAGGTGGAAGTGGTTGAACTTTATAATTAAATTGCATCCATACACGTCAATGCACACTTCCATAATATCCAATTAAATTAGGCACTGACTAGCAGAAAAGCAAAACAAAATCGTGCCAATAACATTAAAGGATAAGAGCATTTTAAACCCGAGAAAACAACGTTGACCTAAGCAGCTTCCCCGGAGACAGCTGATGAGGTAGGAGGTGTGCATAACATTAATTAATTATAAACTAATTAGAGTTGATGTTCCCAAATTAAAAGAGATGTGCTCTTTGATTTGCATCTCTCGTTTTATTCATTTTCTTTAAATTTATCAAAACCAGCGGATTTTGAATTATAAAATAAAAGTAATACTTCTTACTATGTTATAATTCATGAAATTGAATTAGGCTTCTACAAAATGTTTTATTTTTTCATAGAAAAATTATATATATAGAAACAGGAAGAATCTTGTATTAGTTTTTTTTTTTTTTTTTTTGCAAAAATGTTCTTTAGACGCTTTATTTCTCTTTGGGATATCTTTTACTTATTTGTTTTTAGTTTTAACTTATTATATTTGTATTTAATTTGTACTCTACTGAAGAAATAACCAAATATATATACAACAGCTAGCTAGTATAAGTTTACATGTGCGTCTGACTTTTACTCTCTAAGCAAATTAAGAAACTTCAACCTAGCTAGCTCGCTTCTGAAATTATTAAATAAACTCATTAAAAAGGAAAGAGAGAATACAAATCAGAGTGGATAATTACAAGTGGAAGATGACGTGAATACTGTGGGCTAAACAAACCATTTTTAAAATTCTCTACATAAGAAGAAAGCTGTCCTAATAAATAATTTTGTTTGGTTCCATAGCTAAGCTTTTCTTTTTCTTTTTCTTTTTCTGTTGGCATAAAAATTAAAAAATCAGCACATGTATCGTGCAATATGCATGCAACGTATAAAGGTGAAGCGATGGTATCAAATCCGGAAAATGAGTTGAAGCAATACCTCTCCTCGTCTATTGAAAAATATTCGGTTTCCACTTTTCCACTTGCCCACTCTTTTGGATTCACTCTCCTTTGTCCACTACTCCAGCCATCAAAAGTTTCTTCGGTTTCAAACCTTTGATTTTCTTGGATTCTCAAGTTAAATATATGTTAAATAAATCAATAAATTATAGCTTGAATATTGGTGTTAGTGTTTCTTTCTCTTTAAGAGAAACAAGCCTCAAATTCACAACTTTCCTTTCCAAGAAAAAAAATGTGGGTGACACAGGCGTGATTACGACTTCATGTTTAATTAAGGGTGTTTACGATTCATTGTTTAATTAGGAAGCTTTACTATTTGTTTTTATTATTATTCGTCATTAGGTGTTTTTAGGTTTATTTTTTTAGTTTGATAGTTATTTTCATGTTTGGTATTTATTTCTAGCTATTTTTTAAGAAATTGTCGTTTATTAGGCTATAAAAATCTTTTTTTATGCGTCTTTTATAACAAGTCAGAATAATAAAAATTGTTGAATGTAACTTTTGAGAATTTTTTCACAAACCTTGTGTCACTCGTGTGATTAAGAGTTTATATTTTCTATATCCTTGAATTGATTTTTCAATATGGTGCTATTGATCATTATTAGCTAAAGTTGTGGTAGGGTTCTAAATCTTGCTAAAATCAATTAAAAAAAAAACTTAGATTATTTTTGTTGATTGTGTGCTTATGTTGTAATGGGGTTTTCAACTTCACCAAACAAACTAAGGTTAGGTTATTTTTATTACGCAAATTTCAGCTTTTACGTTTTATTATTCGCATATTAATTTTGTTTTCATAAATCCAGTGTCAATTTGGTACCAAAACTTTGGTTTGTTTTATTTACGTGTTCTTGACAATATTTGTGAAGATGCATTCAAGAAAATAACCAAATCACAACTATTCATTTTACAATAAAAGAAAGAAGTTACGACTAATCAATGAGTGACTTGAATGGATCACGTGCCAACTTGATCTCCTTTCATCCGAAACACAAGAAGAAGATTTTGAGGCTGAAATTTTTGATGATTTTAATTCCTTTATGGATTGGAATCAACCTCCAAATTTTTTTAGGAAAATGTCATTTACCCTTAGGGTTTCGGCTACTAGACTATAAAAGCCTTCTTTTTTGTGTCTTTTGTAACAAAACAGAATAATAAAAATGATCAAATACAACTTTTAAGATTTTTCTCTAAAAACTTGTGTTACTCTTGTGATTAAGAATTAGTATTTTCTATATTCTTGAATTGATCTTTCAAAGTGGTACCATTTATCATTTTAGCTAAGGTTTCGTGTAGAGTTCTAAATCTCATGAAAATTAATCAAAACTAAGATGTATTTTTTATATTTTTTAATTAATCTCTCAAAATCTCGTTAGAATTAATCAAAACTAAGATCTGTTTTTTATACTCTTTAATTAATCTCTCAAAGTGATGATATCGATTATTATTAGCTAATATTATAGTTGGATTATAAATCTCATCAAAATCAAAACTTTAGTTGATTGCGTGCTTAAGCTGTTATGAAGTTTTCAACCTTCTCAAAATCAAACTAAAGCTATATTATTTATATTACACAAATTTCGGCTTTTACGATTGGATGATACCTTTTGCCTTTGATCACGCAAAATATCCAAAAATAATAATTAAAAAAAATCATATGACAAATCGCCGTTTGCCACTCAGTCGCTTACACTATCGTCTCATATGAAAGCCTTAGCAAGCATGCCTGATTGAAAATTATCTTTATAAAATCAATGCTTTAGTCCTCGGTGTTTTGGTGGCATTTTCATATGAAACATTATTTTCGCTAAAAAAATTAATCAGGAAAACTCACCCCTGTTGCTTTCAAGAGACATGCATTGCTTCTGCACGGAACGATGGGATATTAAAGATTTTAAATTTAACATTATTCAAGTTCATCAGTAGCTGCACAGCTCACTGTAAAGATGGAAGGGCATATATACACCTGTTCTCCTCGCCTGACAATGCATGTTCATATGCTGTCTTTAGATTCCACAATTCATGCCAGCAACTCCACAGATAAATAACCATTCCACAGCAATAGTCACAACCAGCTTCTTTTAAGTACTTGTTCAGTGAAATGCTTCCTTTCATTAACTTGAAGGTACATTGTGAACCAAAGGGGACCATAGAGGCAAATATATGCTCATAAAAGCTAAAACTAAATTACTGGTTGGCGGGTGTTTTTAAATATTTGACACACAGATAAATCCCATTAATCAAACAGCATCCCTTCAACACAGTTTCACGAAAGACAGACAAAATGTCAACGAAGCCAGGGAGAGGCGACTGGTGAAGACTTTTTAGGGCATTCCCCAGAGATCAACACCGCATTACAAACTATATATTGCATATTGCAAAAGCATTTATGCTCCATTATCTATATGACCTTGGAAGCTAGAAGTAGGTACCCTCAGGAGGCTGGACCAGCTTCCGGTTGTGTGGTGCTGCCATCTCCTTCTTCAGCTGCGTCAGTATGTCCTCCATAGTGTACTCTCGCTGCCAATTTGCAAGAAGTCCAAACTTTTTTGGTTCCACCTGCAGCAATTGCATGTTATCAACTTTCTTATCATCCAATTCGACCAAATCATCCATAAAACGATAAACTTGGATTTAATGCCCATGATTATTATAATATATAGACTAATGCCAATACAAAAATCAGCAGGGATGGATGAACATGAACCAAACTGTGTCACTAACAAAAAAAGGACTAAATGAATATGGGGTTTACACATTAGCGTACAGATATCATTATTAATTTAATAAATTAGATAGGAACGCTGAAAGAAAAATATTAAGTAATTTATTAAATTAGATAAAAAAAATAATGTTTTCCATCTTACTTATAAATTGTTTCATTCCCTACAAATTGGTTAGAAAATTCTCTTTTTTTTCAAACATGTAAAGTAAACTAAGACTTTTATTGTTTTGTGTGATGGACTGACATTTTGGGATGGAAGGAGTACATAAGATAGCCAGACAGCTCTACTGTATGAATCAAACCTAAGCAATCACTACAACATAGAATAAGATAAATAAGCAATAGTGTGCAACTATACCACTCCAGTTTCATGGTTAACACAAGTCATATTGATCCGAGAATGAAAACGAACACTTGGTGGCTTCTCCGGGTAATCTTTATCACAGAAGAGCTTTAACTGATAAATTCGACCTTCATGTACAGTCTGACATTAAAAAAAAAAAAAAAAAAAGTCATTGAACTTGTAAAGCATCCAAACTTGCCAGAAGCAAAAACACACTAACACAGATGCCACAATAGATTTATTCTGCAGTAAGGATAAACCAAAATAAGGTTTTCATAAAATAGTAAAAATTTAATCTGAACAGTTATCCCTTTATTTCAGAGATTTCCCAAGCAAACTAAATTAAACAATTTTAAGCCAGTTAGCGAATTGATCTAGCATCACTTCAAGGTTATAACACAAAACCATTCATCAATGGTCACAGATGCAGCATTTGTGTTTTCAAAATTACTAACTAGCGAAGCAAGATGACCTCTTTGCCATGATTAGTGAAGGCCCACATCTACATTAAAGAAGCAAGATGACCTCTTTGCCATGATTAGTGAAGGCCCACATCTACATTAAAGAAGCAAGATGACCTCATTGCCATGATTAGTGAAGGCCCACATCTACATTAAAGAAGTTTTTTAATAAAAAAATAACCCAAGTATGACCTGTTGTAATGCAAGTCACCAAGATTGTGTAGTCTAAAACCAACCCATCACTAGGCTAAGCCCAAAACCAAATCTTAAGCAGCTGTGTAGCAATAGCAAACTAAGTGTCCAACAAACGGTTTAAGAGCCTATCCCTTGCATTACTAAAACCACCAGAAATTTATTGACACCAAACCTAACATCATACAGAAGCTATATTTCTTTTCTGTGTTTGAAATAATCATTTACTAAGCCAGCACTGCATATATATGCAATTGCACAAGCACAAGATCATCCTATGGATAGTTTTTATGAACATAAAAAATTAAGCAATTACATTGTGAGGACCAATTATAGTGCCAGTCCAAGAGCGCATGTAAATGTCATCTCCATCATCCATTCCATAGCTTACTGTGCCATCCCCAATACCTTTTTCTCCACGTTCAAGTTCCTCCAGCAATCTGAAGTTCCGAGGGACTGCACAGAAACTCAAACGCTCAATATCACCCAAACTTCTACAACATTAATAAGATAGCAATCCGAAAAAAATGGAATTAAAATGCTAAAGAAGTTCATGCTCCAAACTAACTGTTCAACAATTACAGATTTTTACAAAGTCACTACCAAATTCTAGGGCTTTCATAAGCCAGTGATAATTCCGCACCAGTTTAATGTACCCACAGTTCATATGTAAATGCCATAGGCATAAAACAAATTGTTGAGAATCATATGTCAGCACATCGATTACAACCTTGACAAATCAACTGCTCCAGATGTTAATCTTCAAGTTAGTCATGAAACAATCAGATAAAATACAGGTTCAGACCAGTCAACTCAGCCAAAAAGCCCTTCGACTACTTACAGGATATAAACATACTTATTAGGTGAGTCACCACCCACCATATAGCCAGCTACCAGCTTCCACTGATCGTTTCTAACACACACCGTCCAATACCTAACCTAAAATGTCTATATTCCATTTTATTTTCTAGACTCTAGTCTAGAGGAAAAATCAAAATTCATTTTGAAAAACATAAGGCTTAATAATCAGATATGTGCTGCCTTCCCAATCTTTTTTGTCAATCCAAACATTCACATTTGAGCAAACTCAAATTCCTACAGCATTTTCAAATTAACCACATGACCATACTGCCCAATTTTAAAACAATGCAAATGGTTACATCACATCATCCAGATTTTAAAAAACGTTGATTGGAGAAACAAGCCTATAGTATTATCAGTAATGTCAAAGAAAAACATTCAAAAGCTCAGTTCTTTTGAGTAATAAAAGAATCCACTTAATGGTTAACTCAGCAACTAAATACTCTACAAATTTGCTAAAACCCGCACCTCCACAACCACAATTCAATATCCACCAAATCAAGACCTATTATATTTCAATCTTACACTTCAAATTCTTCTATTGCACCTTATAAAACGACACCCATATAAATGTGAAAACACCATTAAGACATTATTACATATATCTTCTTACAACCAGACAGCAAACAACCAGTCGCCAATTATCAGTCTATGACAATCACAGACTAAGTCCTTAACGCATATTGAAGTGAATATGTTCAAATAACTTTTCATAAAAAAATAGAACAATAAAATTCACTTTTCATAAAACAGGAAACCCTTGACCAGGTGATCAAGCAGAATAGAGCCCCATACAATTGCAATCACCCAATTAAAATATCCCATTAATTTGCCAAATAAAAAAAACCAAGAAGCAGATGTAATAAAAAATAAACATAATAGAACGCCACAATAGAAACCCAGATAAATTCCATCATTAGCGGCCAACAACAAGGACCCATCATCCAAAATCAAAGAATTAAACATAACCCAACAAAATACACATCAAGATAGATCAGGAACAGAATTTACAGTACATCAACAAAAAAGCATAAAACAGAGACGGTAGGTTGTAAAAACAGATCGATTACGGGACTAACCCACGACACTGGATCCTCCTGAGCCAAGCGTCATGGATGGTTCAGTATTGAGGATTCTGTTTGTTGTTTTGATGAGATCTGGTTGAAGTAGAAGAGAGAAAATGAGAGAGAGCGAGTCAGAGATGGAGAGGAGAATCTTGGGAAAATTGAAGGCGACTTGGGCAAAGTGGAGAATAAACTATGCCAAAAAGATAATAATACCAAGAACCGTTTCAGGCTTGGTTCGGTTGGTAAGTGGGTTGGTTCACCATGTTCCTGTCTCGGGTTTAAAAAGGCTATTTCTCATAACTTGTCCCAGACCAACATAAAGGAAATTTAAAGCCCAAATAATATAGTTGAGGCTGGAGGTTAAAATTAATTGATAGTACCAAGCTGTTAAAAAAATTTATGTTAAATAAAATTTGAAAGCGCAAAAAAAAAAAAAAAAGCCAAATTTTTCCAAATGGGTTCGTGAAAACTTATAAAAAATAACGACAATTAAAATAAAAATGCAAAAATAACCATAATAATATTAATAATAACCGGCGAGGGAGTATAGCTATGTTTATTAGTTCAATGGTGTAGCTCAAAGAAAAAAGAAAAGAAGTAGCAGTATAAAGGCAAAGAGAGTGATGATGGGCATGGGTGGTTGTGCATTTTTGGGAATAAAGTGACCTCACTTTTTTTTTTCTTGTTATCTTGCATTTGTGGTAGTCCCCTAGTGGATGGCTTCTTCTTTTTTTTTTTTTTTTTAATTCAAATTAGCCAGAAATTTTAAATTTATCTTTATATTTGTATCAATTATTCATTTTTATATTTATATTTTGAATTCATTTAATTAAGCTTTATATGCTTTGAATTCGTTCAATTAATCCTCATGTATTTTGAATTGTTTCGATTTATCTAATAATTGTCTTTCATTAAAACTATATGTTAATTATTCATGTTTAATTATGTGATAATTAAATGTTTCTATTGTAAGACGGGCTTTTATATATTCGAGTGAGGCCTACATCACAAAAAAAGTAGTCTTGGATTTATTTTTATAAGATAATTTATCAATTTATTAATTTGGTAATAAAGACCTACATGAATATAAAAAATCATCCTATAAATAAATAATATTTAATAATGATTTATACGCATGCATAATAGAATTACAATTTAATATAAGTCAACTATTGAATTAATTAAATAAATAAAAAGATCAAAAATATTAATTGATCAAATTAAAATACAAACACAAAAATAAATAATTGATACAAACACAAATGTAAGTTTAAAAATTTTATGTATAAGCCAAGTCTAGGATAAAGCCCAATAAAACCCATTTGGGCAATCTTTGGCTTAATAAGCCTGATGTTGTTGTTGTTTACGCTTTTTTTTTTTTTATTCGATAATTGTTTTAGGATTATTTGATATGAAGGGACGGTGAAAAAGCGGACGGGATGGTTTTTTTTATTCTTTCCAGCAGTAATGAATATCCTTGAAATTCCTAACACTTAAAGAGGGAGGTGAATTAGATGGAAAATAAAAACTTAAAATTATCCATTTTTTTCAAAATATCACCCAACCAAACTTAATTTAATATATTTTTCAAGCTTGCAACCATTCATAATATAAATAAAGTGATATAATAAAAAGAGTGGGGATAGAAAGATTGCACAACAATATATAGTGGTTCAGTTTAACGCCTAGTTCACTCCTTGAACAAAAAATTCAAGTATTTATGCTGTCTCGTGGCCTTCTTCGCAAGTGAGACATTACTGTTTCCAAGGCTAATCTTTTTTCAGACTCAAAACCCTTTCGCAAATTTTTTCTCGGGTTCAATATCAAACTCACTCACACAAGCTATCGAAAGCTCAAAACTAAAATGTACACTCTAACAATAATTCTCACTCAAAAGAATGAACTAAAAACTCACTCAATCAAAGGCAAGATTACAATAGGAAAATCTCAAGTCTTTAATATGAAATAATCTAGCTCTTTTTGTGTAAAAAAAAAAATTGATGCAATTAAAAAGAAATCTAAAATGATTAAAGTATAAGTTTATAAGAAAGATAGCGAAATTGCATAACCATAAAAAGTTGAAAGTGAAGCCTATTTATAGATGAGGGCTAAAGTTAGTTGTTTTTTTGATAATTTTAAGGCTAATGAGAATTTTTATAGTGTTCTGGTATTAATTTTAATAGAATTCTTATGAGATGTAATGAGACAAAATAAAAGAAAATAGACAATATTACATGGATTGAAGGAAACTTTTCTTATTTCTTCTAACCATTAGGCTTCTATACATCCACAATGTTAATTACACTTTTAAGTGAATATTTTCTCTTATCTTTTTTTCTTCCTTGAAATCCTTTTTTTCTTCTTATTACATAATTTACATAATTTTTTCCACACACATCCTAAAATGATAGTATGATGCGGAGGCAATATTGTTCTATCGTAAAGAAGGAGAATAACACACTTATCTTTTATGCACACACACATAATAAAAAACCTACTATGAATAAAAGTAGGAGAAAGTTTCCTCTGTTACAAGTGTTGTCAAAATAAAATAACCAAAGTTTCAATCATATAGGAAACACAAACACAACACACCAAACAAAAGGAGAAATTACACACTTTTAAACAATTCGAAAGTAATTGGGAGAGAAGAACTATATGAAAAATATGAAAGTTAAAGATCCCAAATTTTTTCAAGTTTTAATAATTTTCATATCGTTCAAAATATAACAATAGTAAAAGAGTCTGGAGAGAAAAGATAATAGAAAAATAATTTTACTATGATGCAGAGGCAATATTGTCCTATTAGAAAGAAGAGGAATAACATACCTATCTTTTATGCACACACACATACTAAAAAAACTACTATGAATAAAAGTAGCAGAAAGTTTCCTCCGTTACAAGTGTCGTCAAAATAAAATAACCAAAGTTTCAATCATATAGGAAACACAAACTCAACACACCAAACAAAAGGAGAAAAAAATACGGTAATTACACACTTTCAAACAATTCAAAAGTAATTGCGAAAGAAGAACTATATGAAAAATATGAAAGTTAAAGATCCTAAATTTTTTCAAGTTTTTAATAATTTTCATACTATTGAAAATATAACAATAGTAAAAGAGTTGGAGAGAAAAGACGATAGAAAAATAATTTGACTATAAAATAAAGTGAATATAGGTGATAACAACTTCAAAAATTCTTTCAATCTTTGCAAAAACACTTTAATACAAACTAATGAACAATCAACCCTATTTATAGGCCTCAAAATCGAAAGAGAATTAAAAAAAGACTATAAATAACTAAAAGATGCATAAATAATTGAATCAATTACATCACTCTTTTAATTTCTCCTATTGAATGGTGAATTGAATCGGATTAAGAATTACGAGTAGTGAAAATGTGAAAAGAATATGAACATTCATCATTTCATAATACTTTTTCTTGAATGTTCATTATACAAAGAACATGTCTCGTCAAAACTTTACTAGAAAAAGCTGAGTGGGAAAAAAATCTTAGTGAATGAAAAACAAGTACAATATTCTTTATATATATTCATCCTCATACTCGGGCTCCTCCTATTGAAAATATTGTTTAAGATTTTTAAAACGATGCATCTCAATCTTTTGAATCATCTTCTCGAAAATTATGATAGGTAATGATGCGGTGAATAAATCTTTGATTCATCTTTCCTTTGATTGAGTTATGCAAACAACATTATCTTCATATAATATTTTTAGAACTTCTTTACTAATGGATACATAACATATCCCTCGGATATAATAGATCATTGATCTTAATCAAACACATCCTCAACTTACCTCATGATTTGCTAGTATTTTTGCATGGTTTGAAAATATAACAAGTATAGTTTACTTCATAAAGCATCGTGATATAGTTGTATCATCGTGTATAAATACATAATTAGTTTGTGATCGATTTTTTTATAGATCGTACAAATAACATGCATCCGCATAGCTAATTAAGTTTGACTTTGATTTGTTTGAATAAAATAAATACCATATCATTTTTTCTTAGAGATAACATAATATATATTTAATTATATTCTAATGTCTCTATGTTTGAGCGTAAGTATATCTTGTTAATAAATTTATATAAAATGTTATATTTGGTAGAGTATTATTTGAAAATATAAATACATCAAATTGCACTAAGATATGATACTTTAGGATCAAATAATGCTTTGTTATCTTCTTGAGGTCGAAATAATTCTTTAGATATCAAGTGAATGAGCTATTATCGAGCTAGTCAATAGATGAGTTTTGTCCATATAGAGTCGTTGTAGAACTTTTTCCACATAAGTTGATTGATGAATTGGTCATGCTAAATAATAAAAGTATTTGAATTAGTAAATTTTTGGTTTACTATAACATTTGTTTCAATTATTCGAATGTTTGTGTAATAAAGATAAAAAAAGAAAACAAGTAATTTTTTCAATACATGTTTTCCATAAATATAATAATTGTAATATATAAATATTTAATATTTTTCACATTTATTGTCTCGATGTGATATCTATTTAAATGAATATCTTTGAAACTCAATATTTTTTAAGGGACTTTGAAGAGAATAATACATTATTTATAATAAAATTTATCCCTTTGAGCAATAATACATTTATCCTTCTCGAGTCTTCAAAATTTATCCTTTTAAGTAATAATATATTTGCTCTTTTATAGCTTTCGAATTTTATCTCTTTAGGTGATAATATATTTGCTCTTCTAAAGTCTTTAATATTTATCTTTTCGGGTAATAATATATTCGCTCTTTTAGAACTTTCTATTATATTGATACTATCGGATATAGCATTAACATCAAATAAATAATTAAATAAACACAAAATAAAAAATTCTTTATAAAAAAATAATAAATAAATAAATAGCAAAATAAATTTGTAACTATCATTATGCAATATAAATTATAAAAAAATATAAAATATCTTATTTGTAAATAAAAAAAATAACAAGTTATTAATTTCAATTACCATAATTTTGATGTATAAACTTACCCTTTATATTTTATTCTTTCTTTTTCAACGAGATGCTTTGGAATACGGTAAGTACGCGACCAATGTCCATTTATGATACATTTATAACATTCATTTTCGGAATGCCGACTTGATTTATTTATTTATTTATTTCTTTTTATAGTTTATCCACTTGTAGTGGTAAGCTTTATTATTATGGTTATTATGTCTATAATGATAATTATTCTCACTATAACTATAGCTATGTCTAAAACTATAGCTACGATCACGTTCTCGTCCATGCTCAAAATTATTATAAGTTGTCACATTCATTTCGGAAAATGGAGTAGACCCGATTGGGCGAGATTTATGATTATTTATCAATAGCTCATTATTTTGTTTAGTCACAAGCAAGCATGAAATGAATTCATAAAAAAATATCTTAAAATCTTTTTCTCGATATTTTTATTGCATGAACATATTCAAGGCATGAAAAGTAAATAATATTTTCTCGGCATCGAGCACTCATGATCAATAATCCTTGCTCAAAGTGGCGAGACCTACAAAATTAAGTTTTGTGATGTTTGATATGATAAAACTTATATAATTCAAGATAGAAAATAAGAACAAACATAATAATAAAATTTAAAATTTTCAAACAACATACATTAGATCATTAGATTCTATATGTTAAATCATTCAAGTTTTTCAAACGTGTAATCCGCATAGATTTAAAGTAAATAATAAATTATATACATATCTCTTAATGATTTAGATAATTTATATTTTTTTATAGAATACTCGTGTAAAAAAAGACAATCCAAGTGATTGAAACAAATAATTAAATCTTTTGATAGATACATATCTCATGATCTATTATCTCGGTTGGTTAGAGTTTCGTATTGATAATGTGTTGAAAATATAATAATAATAATAGTAAAAGAAATGGAGAGAAAAAATAATAAAAAAATAATTTTATTATAAAAGAAAGCAAATACACGTAATAATAACTCTAAACAATTCTCTCAATCTATACAAAAACACTTAAACATAAATTAATGAACAATTAAGCATATTTATAAGCTTTAAGATTAATAAGAGAATTGAAATGGAATATGAATAATTAAAAAATGTATAAATAGTTGAATCTATGATATCACCTTTTTAATTTCTCATATTGAAAGATTATTCAATTACTTTAAGAATTATGAGCAAGTGAAAATATAAATAAGAATATAAACATTTATATGGATATTCATTACTTCATAATATTTTTTTTAAAAAAAATTGTTTGACGCAATTCTAATATAATGTCCATGTTTAATTAAATAAAACACCAGAACTTAAAACTAACAATGCATTAGCCAATTTTAATAGGAAGAAATTATTGATTGTGAAGAGAAAAAAACCTGAATTGCGAACATAACAAAAAGAAAAATGAATGCGTAAAAATAAATGAAAACTTTAACCCCACCATTTTCGTAGAAAAAAATTTCCCACCTCATGCACTGCCCACTGGCTCCTAAGACCTATACCCTGAGAGGTCCAAGCCAATCAAATGTACTAATAAATTATTGGTTGGATGGTAAATGAGTTAATACTTAAATGAATTTTTAATTAATATATAGCATTTGAATACTAAAATTATATTTGTTTGGAGAAATTAAACTTTATTGTTTATACTTTGAACAAGATTAGTCCTCTCTCATGTTGAGATGGGAATACCTTGGAGAGAGAGAGAGAGAGAAGCCAATAAAACGCAGCACGTCTCACAGAACACCGAAAAAACAAAGCGTCACTTAAAAGTCGGAACCAAAAATCTGAACACAACACAGCTAAAAATAGTGTCTCCAATGCGAATCACAGCACGAGTCAAGCAAGAAAAGGCGAAGACACAGAAGATTCAGGAACAATAATTCCTTTGGTTCTTTTTTAAATCTTCATCGGTATTTATTTATCACTCTATTTTACGCTCTGCGCTGTTTTATTTTCATGTTATTTTTATGCCTACCAGACGCTTGATGAAATTCCTGAGTATTTGTTTCGCTCATTTATTTCCTTCTTGTTGCTGTTTTCAGATTGTCTAGTTTGACACCCTGTTTGCAAGGATTAGATTGTTTAGCTTATATAAACAATATAGTCTTGTAAAGTTAGGTTTCATTTCATTTCTGTTGATTTTTACATGTTCATGGAAATTTTAGAGGAAAAAGAAACAATTGTGAGCTAGTAAAAGATAGCTTATGTGTCTTAATATTTGTATATAAAGAGATTTAAGAGACTGGATTTTTATATTTATGAGATGAAGTGCAGAGACCATGTGTGTTTTAGTGGGTTAAATGTTAAAAACTTGGGTTTGAGTTACTTGAAAATAAAAGAAGAATGGGTTCTTGTTTGTTTTGTGAAAGAGTGTTTTATGATAAAGCTCATTAAAAAGAAGAGAGTAGGGGAATTATGTTATATGGAATAATATTTTGTTTATAGGATAATAAGGAATGCCTTTTTTGTGTTTGTGTTGGTTTTATTTAATTTATTAATTTTTTTTTGGGGGGGGTTAAGGATGAAGAATGGAATTGAGTTAAGAAGCGTAGTTGATTTTTGTTGAATGAGGCGGATGAGTTTGTTCTGTTATTGGTGTTTGCATATGCTATAATTTAAGGATCACAATTATTTGATGTGAATGATACAATGTGACAACGTGTCACTAACTGGGAGTACACTGCTTAACAAAATAAGGAAATGGAATAACATTATTTTGAGCAATATGTAGTTTCTGCCAGTGCTTTTTTTTTTTTTTTTTTTTTTTTGGAAGAGGGGCTTCAAATTCAGCATGCTGTGTTTTGCAATGCATTCTCTAGATTTATGTACATGTCTGTCTTCATGTCTGCGTATTTAAGTTAATTGAGTGTATATTTCCATCAGAGTCACTATAGAGTGTTTTTAAAGTTTTGAAAATTTGGCTGCAGATGTCATTGCATATTGGTAACTTATCATCTCACATTCATAGAGATGAACTCGAGCGTGTCTTCCAAAGGTTTGGACGGTGTAGTGTACGGCTGAAAGATGGATATGGGTTTGTAGTATATGAATTCCCTCTGAATGCAGAAAAAGCTCTGAGAGCACTACACAAGAAGAACATTTGTGGAGAGCCATTAACTCTCTCATGGTCAAAGAAACAGCCTAGACCAGTTAAACGATTTGCAAGGACTGCATCTTATGAGCCACAACGCGGGAGGAATTCTGATAGAGGAGGAGATTATGTTAAAAGAAAATCGGGTTTCAATGTTCAGCAAGATTATAGGATGAGCATTACTCAAGCAGATAGGAATAGCAGAATGCCTAGTTCTGCTGACATGTATGAGGAAGAGATAGTTAACTGTCAGGATGACATTAAAGACCAGACCAACAAAGAACATCAGGGTTATAGAGAAGAAGATGAAAAAGGCAGGGTTGGACCAGACTCAGTAGACAATGATAGATGGGGCGAGCAATTCCGTGACCCACCAAATGAAAATGGGGTAGAATTTGACAGATATGAGCCTTATGAAGGTTTTGATTGGAATAACGATGATGAAAATCTTCAGAAGCCCTATTCTGGTGGCACTCTTGCTTTACATAGCTCTCAAGAGAATGTAAAGGGAGATTGCATCAGCAATGTAACTTTAAACCGTACTATTGGTGCAAAATCCCTGGAAACTTGCTACAAATGTGGGGGCTCTGGTCACAAAATGCGCAATTGTCCCTGGGAAAATGTTTCACGGAAAAAGCTCACTAGGTTTGACCGTAGGCATACCGATGGCATCCATGGAAGTGGTAGAGGTAAAGGTGAGCTGGAAAAACTTGAATGCAGGTCATGGGAAAAGGTCCGGTCAATTAGAGATGCTATACCAGGAAGGAGACTCAAGAATGATAAAGAATCATCTAGTTCAGGAAGGCACGAAGGAGTGACAAGGAATGGAAGATCTGCTGCAGCAAAGGAAACTGCTCAGTCCCGAAAAAGGAGTATGAAAGGAAAAAACGAAGTAGGAAGGAAAATGAATCTCCTAAAAGACATGGCACAAAGAAAGGGAGACGATCAATTTCATCTCATCTGCAATCAGACTACACCACATCTAGATTGCGCTCGACATCTCATTCCTCTAAGTGTATGCAAAGGTCTCACTCCCACTCTAGATCAAAATCAGTATCTTCCAGCTTAAGGTCTGGTTCAGCATCACACTATTCTAGATCCAAAAGTTCTAAAACTAAGTCAAGGTCAATATCTCCTGCATCCCTATCCTTGTCTGTGTCACTTGGTCGACCTTTACTGTCCTCTTCAAATAAGGCACAGTTGAACATAAAAGACTCATCAGATAATGCTACAACACCTGAATCGAAGGAGGTTTTGATTGAAGAAGTGCAACCAGTAGAAGGTGACACTAGCTTGCAGGGTGATAAACATGGATTGAAAATGGTGGCTGTGAATAACAATGTAGTGTCATCCTTCAAAGCAGATGATGAAATGGAAAACGATCAGCCTCTTCAGAAGGATAACAATGACTGCCTAATGGTGTCCAATTCATTCGACAAAGTAACTAATTCTAGCACACTAATACAATCAGAGAAAAGCACACTTGCTGCTGGAAGTCTTTCTCTGGAACCTGTGTTAGAGATGGAATGTCAGAATTCTAATGCATTTGAAATGGAGCATGGGCAAGTTCCATTGAAGAAGTTGGATCCAGAAGGTCCTGTCAGTTCATCTTCTTGCCACTCAACAAACATTTCTGCAGAGGAGTTAAGCATGGTTCTAAAGCACTATGGCCTTGATTGCCAAGATGAGAACGAAAAGCCTTTACCTGCTGAGGCTTACTTTGGTTCTGCTCGCTTGTGGCCTTGGGAGATCATCCACTACAGGAGATTGAAGAAGGGCCCTATCTCCATTGAGAACTATGCTAGACGAGTTGATCAAAATAGGGAATTTGGTATTGTCGACAAATATATTAGAAGCAGCAGTGGTTGGGGAGAATTACACCAAGAGAACCCATGAAAGGCTTTGTTTGTCGAAATGTGGGCATATTTTTGCCTTCTTAGAACCTCAGCATTTTGGACTCATTGTACATCTAGCCCTGCTCGTATTTTGAGGAGAACAGTTGAACAGGTAAATATGCAGAATACATTTATACATCATTACGATGATTTATTGAACTTTCAGAATTATCATATAATTGTATTTTGAAGGTTTGATTTTGAGCTGGGATGTGGTAGATGTTCAGAAGCTTTCTTTTGGTGTCCATGTCAAAGTCGTGGATTTATTCTTCAGTTGCATATTACTCTTTCTTGAGCCTGACTTGTTTTAGCCTGAGATGAGAGTTGATCCTGTCAATATATGTTTGCTGTGACATTATTGTTAAAAAAATTACGCCCTCATCCCTTGCAATGTTCATTCAAGAGATGTTGAAACTTAAGTCTTGATTTAGTATGCAAAATTGAATAGAATAGGTCGTTTATGCATCAAGAAACTATTTTAGATGTCTTTGCTGTGCATAGGGAGAGAACCATTATTAGTTTGATCAAAATTTTGTTTTATAATGGTGTTCCTTTCTTTGTGCATAGCATTGGTAAGCATTGTGTAATAATCAATGGAGATAATTGGAAAGCTACTACAACAAATGGTTGTTGAAAATGCCTGTATGTGTCTGTGTTTCCAGTGCAGTTTAGCTTAGGTTAGTTTGAACATATGATTGAATCACAACTTTGTTAAAATTCACAAGTTGAGACTTGTTAGGATGAGGTATGAGAATGTTAATGGACAAACTCTGCTTTCTTATTTGTTGAGAAGTTATAGATCAAATAATTTGTTATTTGTTGAGAAGTTATAGATCAAATAATTTACCTTCACAGAAAGTAAGGTAGAGCTTTTGGGATACTGCCATATTTGGAACACACCCAGTCTCCAATCCATTAAAGATGTTTGCTTTCAGTGTACTAATGGTGTTGAGACTTAAGATTCTCGAACTCGAACTTTACCTCAAAGGAAGACATCAAGATTTGTGAAAGATCAGTATTATATGCTTTTAGGAAGGTTTGGAAATGGAGCAGTTCATTACCTCTCATAAGTGTTCCATAAATTTGAGTGAAAATGGCGTGTGATTTTCTTCAGTTGCAGGTGGCTCTGGTTCAAGCAGGAATGAAGACTTGCCTCACCAGCCTTTTCATCTGATTTTCTCAGCATGATATGCTATTCTTTTCTGATGCCCTTTGTTTTGGCTTTTCCTCAAATTTTACGTGATCACTTTGTTATTTGGGGTGAAGGTTGTCCCTCTTCTGCTAGGTTTTGAATTTTGTATAGAGAGTTGTGTTTGCTATTTGATTCCAGCAGAATGAGAACTCTATAATCTTTGGGTTAGGCTGAAATTTCATTTTTGTGTTTGCTCTCATCTCTGTTCATCATCTTCAAGAGAATAAAGTTCATCGTGTTGTTGACAGTTCCCCTTACCCAATAAATATGACTGAAAAATTAGGAAGCAAAAAGCTTGAGCTTGAATAGTTTGATAACTTGGATTATGGGTTTCTCGTTGAACATAGAATATGGTATTTCATTCAATCGGATGATTGGATCCACTTGATTCTGCTCAAATCTTGTACAGCCTTGAAAGAAATAATTGAGCAGCAATTGGAAGTAAATAGCGAGCTAACAAATGGTTTGATTGATAATTGCTTGAATAGTAGATTGTAGACGTGCTCACACACATCCTGGAACTTGGTTTGGAGAAAAGTTCCAGCTTCTTGCAGTCTCTTTTCCATTTGGTGTAAATTAGTGCGGTATTTGTATGTGTACGTCAAACTTCGAATATGGCACCCCTTTACCCCTAGTGGTGGACTTTTAAAATTTATCAGTTCTCTGTTGCTGTATTTTGTTATCTACTATCTATAAAATTGAAAGCTCTTCTCGGTTTAGAGCTGTTTATTAGGTTTGTCACCAGCAGCAAGTAGGTTTTGTAAGGTGAATTTTTTTCCTTTTTCCCTTTGAGTAAACAAGTTTTCCTTTTCTTGTTCTCTTCTGCCTATGCAAAATGCTGCTTCAGCAACGAAGCTTAGAAGTCAGATGTTCTATTTGTTTCGAAGATTTGCCATGACTTAGCAGGTGCAGTAAACTTGAAACCAAAGGCAAACCCATCATCGATACAAGTTTGTCAGTTTAGACCCAAGCACTAAATTCTTTGTGAGTCAAAACTCAACACCTGTCACACGTAGGATTAATGCTTTCTTAACTGAACTGAAACGGAGATGCTCCCTTATAATAAAGGTCGTCGATTTATAGACACGAAATGTGTTTCCTATTTTTGCTGATTAAATGCTTGGTCAGACGTTTTAATGGAGCAATTGAATGCTTTGATTTGTTTTCTTGTTTACTCTGACTAAATTAGGGATATTACAAAAGATTCAATTTGACTAAAAAAAACACTTTAGAATCATCCCAAAAACATTTAGAAACTATTTAAACCTTTAAATATGCTCAAATATACTATAGAAACTTGAAATATTGAATCAAATTCAAAAACTCAATTGTATTTTTGGAACTTGATCTTCTTTTTTCAATCATTTAGGATATCAAAATCATCATAAAAAAAAAAAAAAACCTCTCACCGTGAAGGTAAATACATAGACATCAATATTGTCCGATTAAATGCTTGGCATTACACAAAAAAAAAAAAAATCCAAGTAAATAGCGATAGAAATATCTATTGCTAAAACTAACGTTTTTGTCACTATTTAGGTATAGCGACGTAATAACGATAGAAATAAACCGTTGATAAAGTCCTTGTCGTTATGTTTGTTAGTGACAGATTAATTAGTCTATCACTAGTTAGTGATAGACATTTTGTCGCTATTTTGAGGTATTTGAAATATCTATTTCGTTGTAAACATCCGTACAAATGGTTTGAATTCCATCGTTATATAGAGACATGAATCCATAGCTAAACGTTATCGCTAATTTCAATCATTATCAATCATTGACATTTGTCTCTAAAAGTAAGTTTTCGTCACTAATAGTTAAATTCAATTTGTTGTTGTTGTTGGGGTGTCACTAATCTGTCGCTAAATTAAGGTTTTTTTTTTTAAAATAGTTAATAGGCTTCTAGATGTTTTGTCATATTAGCCAACAACTAAAATTAAAATCATAATACAAAATATTATTTAATAATATTATATGAATATAAAATAAAATGTCATAAATATAACAATACGATCCGATATACGAACATATAAAAAAAGAATTTAAAAGAAAACTAGTCATTAAGATCATTTGTTGCTTTATCTTTTAGATGTCGAGTATTAAAAGGAAAATCGGACTCCGGGTAGGAGAAGGGAGAGGGTTAAAAGGAAGGGCACAACTCCTAAGTGTTTCATCTAAAGTTTACTCTATCTTCTCCATCCGCTGCCGCATACACGGGTTATCCTCCTTGCATTTGTTCTCCACCTCCTCAATCCGTCGAACATAGTTACGATCCATATCCTCTAACTATTGTTCAACCCGGTCACTATCCTACCGCATGTAACTAGAGAATTGTGATGTGGTAGAGGTTGAGATGGCGGCAAAACAAGATTAAAATAAGGTCTCCCGTGTTATGAAGTCGTACACTCCATACTTCTTCTTCCTTCCTATAGCCTCGAGATATATATGTGACATGTCGATTCTTGCAAATCATGAAGCACCCTTTAGTTGTTAGGTAGCAACTAACGTATGCAATTGGTTCGCATGTTCTTATGTAATCGAAAAACTATAAACTTAAATCATAAATATAGTTTTTGATTAAATTTGTTTTTGTATAATTAAACTTAACCCAATTGTCCGAGATTGCATATCCATGAACGACTCATCTTGGTGCTTGTGAGTCCTCACGAACAACTCATAAGGATTTGGGTAATGACCCAACTCTTTAGCTTGAGAACAATAGAAATAATCAATATGAGATGCAATAAATGACTAGATAGCCTCTATATGTCTAGATGGCCCAACACTAGCACCATCCAAACTTTCTCTTATGGTTTTGTATTGCTTACTCGTAACGGGTCCGAAACTCTAGTGTGTTCCAATCTTACCACTATGCATCCCACACCGATGCCGGGAAATATTAGGACTTATTGGTTTTTTTTCTTATAATTGGTCGGTATGTCGACATAGCGTTTGCATGTCGATACTCCCATCACTTCTTAACCATCAAGTTGACAACTTCATCCTATAAAAAAATGCTTCTACAAGAAAAAAAAAATTAATATTAGTACATTTTATGTTACTAATTTAAATGTAATATAAAAAAATAAATAAAATATTACTTTAAACTCTTCTCGTAGAAACTTTTTGTGTCCTTCAAGATTGACTTTCAAGTCAAGCTAGAAAGGTTTAAACACTTCTTGAAAATTTTGATGATTTGGATAGCACACTTACTAGATAGAAACAAGTCGTCGAATATAACAAATAAAATAATCTGCTAGTTACTAAATATTTCAAATAATATACAAAAATAGAAAACTAATAACTATATTTAAAATAAAGATAATTTTATTTGCAACCGCAAATAGAATTGTTGTGATAAAATTGGTATGGTTGACTTGGTTCAATAGGGTAACGAGGTTTACTTGATGTAATAATTAGTTGGGTTTAGCTAGAATTTAGGAGAGGTTAGGCGAGTAATGGCAATGGCTCATATGTAACGAATGATTGAATCTTGTAATAGAGCATTTGGCAAAAATAGTGACAAGAATAGTGTCGGATCATAGTCTATTGTTGGTTCGAGTTCAACAACGAAAGAAGTAGAGAGGGATTATTTTGGCTTCAACAAATGTGGATGGAGCATCAAAATTTTTAAGAGTTTGTATGGGAATTATGGAATACTATAGTATGGGTTCTCCTATGGAAATCCTTCATCGAAGCTTAAACATTTGAGGAGTAAATTGTGAGTGTGGAATTGGGAGGCTTTCGATAACATTCATAAAAAAATAGAAGTTTTGTAATACAAAATTTTTGGTTAAATATAGATCTAACACAGGGGTCGAATGTTCAGTCATCCGATATACTTCGGGATAGGAAATCCGAGTTAGCTTTTTTAATCTAGTGGGATGGGGATATGTTAAAACAGAAAGCAAGAATTAAATGGGTTACCGAGGGGGATAGAAACATGAATTTTTTTTTCCATGTCCGTATTAAAGATAATGTGAGAAAAATGACCTTCAAAGCTGCGAAGCAGGATGGAACTTTTATGGAAGATATGTCCGAAATAAGTGGTCGAAGCTCTTAATTACTTTCGATCCTTATTTTTGGTTGGTCCAATATTAAAACATGGATCCTTGTTTATAGAGGTTTATAAGAGCATTACGGATCACATTAATATGCAATTGACGTGGATTTCATTAGAACTTGAAATTATGAACGCCATTGATGATTTGAATGCTTCCAATGGGCTTGGTTGGGATTGTTTACATGGCACTTTTATAAAGGATGCTGGAATGTGATTCGAGTTGATGTCATTACGGTAGTACGAGATTTTTTCAAATGAGGTCAACTCCCTAAAGGTATGTCTTCTTGTATTTTGGTCCCGATTCCAAAGGTGGAAAATCCGAATTCTCTAAGTGACTTGAGAGGTTGATTAGCTTATCTAACTTCAACTATAAAATTATTTCAAAAATCTTAACAAATAGGTCGAGTGTGATCCTATCCAAGCTAATTGATCCGAAATAAGTTGGCTTTGTTAAAAGATTTAGCATTACGAAAAATGTGGCACTAGCCTAGGAGATGGTAAGACGTTTAGATCAAAAGGTTCATGGGGATAACCTTATTTTTAAGCTAGATATTTCTAAAGCTTATGATAGGGTCAAGTGGTCTTTTCTCTTAAAGGTAATGCATGTGATAGGATTTAATGAAACTTGGTGTGGCTTGGTGTATAATAGTCTCATCGATGTTTGGTACACAATTCGGATACGTGGTAGGAACTTGGGTTTTTTTAAATCGTATAAGGGAGTTCGACATAGGGATCCATTATCACCTCTCGTTATTTATTATGGTTTAGCAAATTCTTTCCATCAATCTGAAAAAATATATGATGGAGGGACTTATTCAACCATAGAGGTTACCTAAAGGAGAATTATTAGTCTCTCACTTGTTTTATGCAGATGACATGCTTCTATTCACGAATGGATCTAAACGATCTTTGATGCAATTAAGAGGTTTGATGTCCATGTATAAGGAGAGCTTAGAGAAATGATTTAATGTGGTTAATAGCGGATTCTACACTCCTAAAAACATGTTAACGTCAAAAATATTATCCATTAAATAGTATACAAGATGTGGGCACTTCCAATTTCCTTTACAGTATTTGAGTGTCCCTCTCTTCATGGGAAGAATGCATCAAGTTTATTTTCTACCTATGGAGATGACGATTAAGTAACGGATATGTGGATGGAAGGTAAATTTGTTATCCTTTGATGCCCGATTGACTTTACTTTTGAGTAGTGATCAATAGTATACATATGCATGTGTTAATAGCT